AATATAACACATATGTGATTACTAATATTCGATAGATAGATACATACAATATCTTTTTGGTCCTACACCTCCCTTTCATTGCAAAAATAATGTCTAGTTGAGACAATGCTATAAATCAGCTCTGCATTCAAAAAAGATTTTTTTGTTCCACTATTTAAGTTTAAGGAATGGTAGAGAATCGGTATTAGGCGTTTCTTTTCTCCCAGGTAGTCTCGGTACCACTTAAATCTGTTCGATCTAATTCCGCTTTCTTCCAAATTGCTTATATTGGTATTCTTAAGCTTTACGTAGAATGAACGATTTCCCTTGCAAAAAATTTCTAGCGACAATTTTCCAGTCATCACTTGCACTTTTTCTTGTCTCCCTGCAAAGAGACAAAAAAAACAGACATGGAAATTGCTCTTCGCTGCAAAAGGACCGCTCTTTTGTCTTTGTTCTCTTGCATGAGACATATGACCTTTATTGGATACGAGTTGCAGTTACGGTAGTTCTACTTGTCGAATTCGTTCCATAGCACTTTTGATGTTTTTTTTTCGCGCAGTTCTTGCATTTTCTTCTGCAAAACAAGCGAGAGCAGATGCAAAACAATGTTGTTCTCTTCCACTTTAGAAACGAATAAAATAACGGGGCCAGAATTTGTAGGCTTATTGAAGTTTAGAGGAAGTTGTAGGCTGTATGAATTATGTTTACAAATTAGTAAAATGCCTAAAAACACAGATAGATGTTTGAGATATAGAAAAAAAGATAATTTATCTTTTAATTATTTTGTCGCTGTTGCTAAGACTCCTAATTTTCTCTCCATGCCATTTCTCTTGCCCTTTTCCCTGCTATAAGCCCTTTATCTTCCATCTAATTAAAGACTTGGAATTCTTGATACTCTTCCTCCTCTCCCCCTCCTAGAAATTCATAAAGCTAAAGGTTTATTAATTTTAGAAAAAAATTTAAGGTTGAAAAAACAGTGCTACAATTAGTTTTACTGATGTGATGCTAATGGACTGAAAAAGAAACGAATCATCATACAAAATTTGCCAAATTCTCAATTCTTTGCTTTTTCTACGCCTGATAGAGTTTCAACAGGATTTCTTTCACCCCTGGATGATCCTGAATATTTTACAAACTTCAAAACAGCAAATTCTTCTATTGC